AAAAAAAAAAGGAAGTGAGTTAGATAAAAAGAAGTGATTTGGACCAAAAAAAAAAACGAAGTGGCTTAAACAAAAATTTTTTGCCGACTTTTGTGACAAATTTATTTCCTAAACTATATGATTTTTTTTTTTTGGACACTACACGGGATGATTCCTGCAATCGTGTGAGGCGGCGATCTCCCAACTAGCGAACTTGGAATAACAGGGTCAAAAAAAAAAAGGGGGTCAGGCGTGTGCCCTGCTAATTCTTTCCGAAGCTTAAGTCAGTANTGTGAGGCGGCGATCTCCCAACTAGCGAACCTGGAATAACAGGGTCAAAAAAAAAAGGGGGTCAGGCGTGTGTCCTGCTAATTCTCTCCGAAGCTTAAGTCAGTAAGAGTTCGAAGGGTTTTGCTTAACCTTTGTCCATTTTTTTGAGGAATATTTATGCCTGAATTGGCAATGATTGCCAAAGGTCTTTAGTCACATCTGGACATCTTCATATCTGATACACCATCCCTCGTACAGTGAATGCTTCCTATTCACGTCTCCTCCTATTGAATGCTAGGAAAATTGGATAAAAGCTCGGCCACCCGCCGAGCAATTATGCCCCTCCCCGAATGACCAAATCCATCAGGTCGGCATCTGACACCAATCAAGCATTGAATACTCGGCGGAACAGTTCCTCGGGAGATCTGATGCGTAGTCTCGGCGCGTCAGCCATTAATGCTTAGCCATTATGACAGTAGGATTAGACTCCCAGAGGGCAGTTGCTTGCAAGTGCACATTTATTTGCTCTGTCACTATCACTCATTCTGCCAAAAATGTGAGGTCACATCGCATTAAATACGATGTTAGCTGTCGTACTCGGCCTCTCCGTGTCACCATTCCTCGGCATACCTCCTCGGCATCCCTTGATCATCCCAACGACTTCATTATTCCACGTGTCAACCCGGAGGCTGAAGAGCCGCACTGGAGTCCCGCCAACTGCCCCCCATCCACAATCCTTTTCGCAGCGCAAGACAAGTGGCGTAAAGGGACTAGGGCTCCATCATCATACCTTATTAATGGCAACGGTTACTTGCACGTCTGGTGCCGCCCTTTTCAAATGCCCTAATGATGAGCCAACTTTTCGATTCCCGCTCCTTGCGAGGCAGTATAAATAAGAGATTTTCCTACCCTCTCAGAACTTTTGCATCCTCAATCTCTCATCAGCAGTCAGACCCCGAGTGCTTTTCTGTCATTCGAATTTCATTCGTCCTCTAAGCCCTCTTTGAAGACCACCCTTCTGTAAGTACTTCCACTCGAGCTTTTTCTTTCTTTATTTCCTTTGTATTTTGTCCTCTTAGTGCTCACCAATGGCTAGAACTAGTAGAACCAAGGGAGAAACGTCGGTTAGGGCTAGTATCACCCATAAGGTGAGGAGAATCCAAGTGACAGATGAGAATATTCAAGCCTTTAGAGTCAGGTACCACATCTGTGAGTCTGTCTTCGCTTTCCCCTTCAATCTCACTCACCATAGGAGGGATATGAGAACTGTGGACATGGTACCTTTCTGGACGAAGGCCATCATGGAAGAAGGGTTGACCTTCCCCCTCCATCCCCTGTTGCTGGGAGTCTTGATGCAACTGAAATTCTTTCCCCTCCAATGTGGGGTTAACTTCTTTAGGATTGTGATGGACATAGTCGCCTTAAACACTCGGTTGGGGACTAACTTAGAGGTAAACGAAACTTTATTCTACTACGACCTAAGGTTCGTCGCCGGGGGGCGATACTACCTCCAAGCCTGAGATTTCTCAATGTACTTGGTAACCCACATGTCTGACTCGGACAAGGGGTATGTGGACGATCTGATCATGCTCGGCAGCAGTTGAGAGAAAGGGACTGGGCTTGAGTATGACGAATTGTACTGCCCCAAAGTGCCGAGGGATGAAGGTGTGTTTTGCTTCCGACTTCTCAATTTATCTATTCTTGGGTCCAAGGGATGTACTAATTTTTACTTTGCTTTTGCAGAAAGACATCGCCGGGACACTACTCAACCGTTGAGGTCCCAAGTCCGATTTGCTGATCTGCTAAGGGTCTGGTCCTCGGATCTAGCTGAACGAGCCGCGCATACCCTTCTCGGCTAAACACCAACCTACAGTCGATTCTCCTAGATCCCACATCCTTTCAACCCTTCCGTTTGGGAAGATCACTCCTCGTTAGAAGAGAAAGAATTTGAGGGATGTTCTGGAAAAAAAAAACTCAGCATCACGCTCCCGAGCCACTCGCACCTGATATGTTTAATCCGCCACCCATCACCGCAGTTACAATGGAGGCCACCGCCTCAGCAAGGAAAGCTAGGCTCGCCGGGCTGGCTAGGCCTTCCAACACTTTTCCCATCATCCCCCAGCTCAATTCTCCTCGAAGGCAGCCGTCACTGCCGCGCATGCTACCCAGGGATTCGACCGTGCCGAACAGGCAAAGGTCCCAATCTCAACAAGTCCCCGCTCTGGGAGACCGACTAAGGGACAGGCGTGCTCGAGACGTCGAACAATCAGAGGAGCGACGTGTAAAGCAGCGGCATGATGCCCGGCCCCATGCCCATCTGTCTTGG